TTTTTTTATTATTTTGAATAGTTTAAGACCAACGTCATTGGCTTGATGAGTAATCATTTTGGTTAGCAAATAGAAGGACGAATTTCACTTTACAGCTAAATACCGGTACCTTAAACGACCCCCATCACCAGAATTCAGAATTAATAACAACAAAATCGCTACAGGTATGACTCTTTACAGTCAAAAAACTTAAAGTAAGCGACATTGAGCTGATTAAAGGGTAAAACCACTGTAGATGCTTTAAAAAATATATATTTTTTATTGGCTAAAAATATTTTTTTTACTTTCTAGTCCGACATGGATTTCATTGAAATTGCGAGCCCTTTTACAGAGCGCGCCGGGCCGCTCCTTTATACATATTTTGTGTTTGTCTCAAAACTGGAAATGCATTGTTCTCAAATCACGTTTTTTGAATTTAGCTCGCAGCATAACTCAAACAATTTTCACTATTTTCAATTGACTATTTTCTTACACCTTTTTAATATTACATGAGTGTTTTCTCAAATACTTCCAAGTTTCACAAAAATCAATATTTTTTTAAAATCCGCACATCATTTTCTAACTTTTCTCATGTAGATAAACAAGAATGTCTTTAGTTGAACCATTTTAAAATGTTTTTGGTGTAAATTCATTCTTTTTCTATTTAATAATTAAATTAATGAGATACCAAAACATTATAAAAAAGGATTTTTTCGGCGTTTACAGTGGCTTGCTTAAGGCAGGGCAGTAGGTAAAACTTTGTAAAAAATATATTTTAAGCATATGCAAGCTGCAAACAAATCTACGTCAGACATCAGACTAAAAACTGTCTTGGAGTAGTACGAGGAGAACCAATATTCTTTGAAGATAAAGATATTTTAAAAAACCCAAAAGGTACAGAACAGAAACGCCTCGCTTTACGCGAAAAGTTGTGGAAAAAAATTATATTTTCCAACCGCCAAACTAAGGATAGGTTTCGCAGAGAAAGAAATTCCCAAGGAAATTATTTATGAAAATACGAGAATTCTTTGAAGTTAAGGTCACACATAGTTAGGTTGCAAATCCAAAAAAAAAAGATGACTCGAATGCGGCAAACCTAATTGCATAAATAAGAAATGTAGAACATCTGTGTTAACGAAGCCCAAAAAAATTAGTAAAGAAAATGCGTCAAACCATATAAAAGTGGTAAAAAAATAGCAAGAGGTATTGGAAACTTATTTGCCACGATGTACAAATAGGCTCGACTAACGAAGAGGAGGTTACCAACGTCAACCAACGGCAGTGGTATTACAGATACAATATAACAAATTGACGATAATTTTAGCGATATTCGCTTTCTCTAAGTATAAGTATAACGATTCTAGGATCGCAAATAAGACTGGACGATAATTCTAACGATTTTAATATTGGGTGTAATTATCTTAACGTTGTTCGCTATCGCTGTTATCGTAAATGACTCGAAAAATCGCTAACTAATCGACGAAATATTTTTATTTCATTAAGGTTGAAATAAAGTAAATTCGGGAAATTGCCTAAGTTATATGAAATTCAAAAGAAAATTATAAGCACATATATGCTTTTGAGCATTTGGCATACGTGCTATCTCAAGATGAGGAGGTATTGTACCCTCCATCATAGGGTAGAGGTTTGCTTCCGGAAGTTTAAGACCGTTTCCACTTGAATGCAACTGAGTTTTTCGATACCAAATAAAAGGCTAAAAATAACAGCATTATCTACGGAAAAAAAGGTAATAATATAACTTTTAAATATTTTTTTCAGTTTTTGCACTATTAAAATGTTTGAAGGTTCTAACCGTCTTGCGTCATGAGTCAATAAAACAGAGTTAGAGAAACGCATAATCGTTAGCGCAAGCGACAAAAAATTGTTTCTATAAAAGTTACGGAATTTCACTACCGGTCAGAATCAAAGCACTCTCTCCAGTCCAATGTCGCTGTGAAAGTTCAGATAACAATATTCACCAAACCTTTGAATAGCCTTTTAAATCCACTTATAGAGGCCATTCGTTTCCTTTCAGAACTTAATAATCAAAAAATGCGAGGAAAATTAAAATCAAATAATTTGTATCCGTTTTACACCCATTCATAAATTGTATGTTACAGGAGTATCGTAAAATGTTCACAAAGGTGGTAAAAATCATTGCATGCATCCATTTCTGATATTTGTGGAGCACTGTTAACGACTCAAAAATTAAAATATTTTCTGTTATATATTAAATGTAAGCCAGGCAGCTAAAAATATATATAGCTTTTATGGTCCTGACACTGAAACAGGGAATCAGGCACAATTTCGGTATCATTCCGGTAGATTTGATGCAAAAGATGTTTCACGGATTGGAAGGCCAATTGTCGAAAATGTCGATGAAATCATGGACATTGCCGAGTCCGACGGTTATGTAAGCACTGTTTGCCCAAGAGCTAAAGCATGCACTAAAAACCGTTTGGAACCATTTGAAAAGGGCTGGATACGTAAGAATAAAAAAAATAATTTTCATGCAAAAATAATGGATTTATTTTTACGACACCTAATATGTACTTCCAAATGCATGTAATAAAATAACTTTAATAAAAATTCATTAAATTAAATCTTTAATAGAGAACTAAGTTGACAATAACGCGTATATATTTATATTTCAATATACCTTCCGTTGTGATTCAGTTTCTTTTGGAAATTGCTTCTTTTGAAACGGGTAAATGGTATTTTTATTCTGCCATTTTACTATGTGCCTACAAATCTTTCAGATGAACTTATTCTGTTCTCCAAAAGGTTCTTTATAAGACAAAAAAATGTAGATAAGAAATGTGGATTTATTTGATAATATTTCCAGTAAATTATTAGAATTGAAAATATTGTCGAAATACCGACTGTGTCCAGATTTGGTCAACCTTTTACATGTATGAAGAGCTGTCATGAAAGTAACAATGCGAACTAGGATCTCATTAAATTTTTCCACAGGTTCCTATTGCTAGTATTTTAACCCCGAATATTGTCATGCAACTAAACTGCATACAACAACAACCAACCAATCAACATTTTTAATTCTAAATTTTATTTTGAAAATCATACAATAATACAAATGTTGCGAAAGTTCAACAGGAAAGAATTGTTTAAAGAATTTGTAAGCCTCCAAAACATGCTCGTTATAAATCTGGTACAAAGTGAAGACTAGAACCGTCAAAATACCGTCGCTTCTATTTAATTTCTGCTTCTGGTGTTAACTCATAAATTGAAAATGAAGTACGAGTAACATGTCCATGCCCCATATCTTCGCCATTATCATTGTCATAAAAATTTGTTACATTCTTATATCAAGTTTACGTTTTCTTATAAAGTTGAAGTTATGATCAATAATTTTTTCATGGTTTAAATGAAGTTTACTAACCTCTTCAATAACTGGCCTCATTTACATCTTCATAATCAGAAACTTTTGGATCAATTTCAATTTTTTTACAAAAATTTTAGTGTAAAAACTTACTCCTTGTAATTTAAAATGGGCAAAATGTTAACCTTGATTCGATAGTTTTCTGTTTAAATTTGAGGAGAACTTAACGTTGCGAATGCTACAAAGTCTCAATCATTACTAACTTTTTTAAATTATGTGCGATACATCGTGCACTTTGTTTGCGCGCATTTTCGTTATCGTGGACTAATTGTAAAGATTATATTTTTTTCATCAATTTAAAATCTATTACTATCTGCTATCTATGTTGCTTCAAATCATTTATTTGCATTTACTTTATCACTTGATTTATAATCCCAAAACCTAATTCAACCTAAAGAAAAACCGTCGAATTTACCAAGATGTTAAGAGACACATTCATCATACACTAGAAGAAGAGCAAAGTTAATTAAGAGGAATAATCTGGCGTACGAGGGAGTGTCTGGCCATCAAACCAAAACCAAAAAGATTAATATACTGTAGGTCCTTACAATTTGTTGGAAAAACATCAGGATACATCCCACATATAAAAAGAGGAACTTGGCCGAAATTCGCTTCAGCGTTTACAAAGCGCCAAATATAAAGGGTGATTTTTTAAGAGCAATAGGAAAGTTTTTCAAATAACAAAACACGAAGGATTAAAAAAGTATGAAATCTTTAGAAGAATCGATTGAATACGGTATATAATTTAATGTGTGAAGATTATTTTCTGCAAATATTGACCGTGACTGCGCCTCAAATGGTCCATCCGCTTAGTCCAATTTTAGCATACCCGAAATGTTTGTTAGCTGGTATTTAAAGGATAAATGCTTTAATGCTGTCCTTCTTGCGTCAATTGAAGCGGGCTTTTCTGTATAGACATTAGATTTAACATAGCCAAAAAAAAAAAAAAATCTAGTCTAAAGGCACGATCTAGACGGCCAATTGACCGGTTCCGAACGTGAAATAAAATGCTCACCGAACTCGCCTCTCAATAAGTTCATTGTTATGCATGCTGTGTGGCACGTGGTACTGTCTTGTTGAAACCACATGTTATGCAAGTCAAGCTCTGGAATTTCGGGCAAAAAAAGGTTGATATCATCTCACTGTAGCGCTCACCATTCACAGTTACGTTACGATTCGCATCATCTTTGATGAAGCACGGTCCAATGATGCCACCAGCCCATACACCGCATCAAACTGTGACTTTTTCTGGATGCATTGGTAGCTCTTGCAATGCTTCTGGTTGATCTTAACTCCAAAATCGACAATTCTGCTTATTTACGGGCCCATTAAGCCAAACACAATTTTGGTTTTGTTTTTTTTTTCTTTGAATTTTGTTAACAGAGCACGCTTTTTGATTATGAAATTCAATAATTTGTAAGCGTTGTTCGTTGGTAAGACGATTCGTGGTTAAATTATAGACCAAACTGAAGATGTTTGACAGCGATAACCAACACGAAACAGTCGTCAACTGTTAAAACCAGTGTTGCCAAAAAGTTAATAGCTAAATAATCACCCTTTATATATATACACATAATTAGAAAAACTCGCTTGGGAAGTAAAATCAGATTTTTTAATAAAAATCATGAAATATCGTTTATTGTTTTTGCTTAATTATAGCGTAACAATAAGTATTCGATTCTTAATAACGGTTACTAACTTTATAAACTTTATATAAAATTTCGAAGATATTCATTCCTTTTGAATTTTACTTTGAAGATATTCTTAGGAAATAAAGTACGAAATATGGAGTTAATATTCATTAGGAAATATTTTTCTGGCTCGTTCAATTTTGGTGAATATAAAATATTGAAAAACAAATATATTTTGTTCCTATTTCGGACCTGCAACGAGATCATAAAAAAGGTAAAACAAAATACTTAGAAAAATGAGTATGAAGGAGAATTTCATAGAAATTACTTACAAAGCTTAGAAGAGAACATGCGACTGGAGATCAATTATGCGTTTATTGCTTTTATGATTGCGACGGCCAAAATGTCTATAACCACCTGTAGCTCGGTCCTTCCAGCGCCGGCAGTCAAGTATTTCATGGATTTGGCGTCAGGGTAACAAGTGTAGACTTTGGACAACCCATTAACTTTGTAAACCATCCGACTATTGTCTGTTTCATTGCAGTAAGTGTAGTTCGGATGAATACATGCGATATTCTCTAGATCGCAAATTTCCCAACATTTATCGGTTGGATGTAATTTCCAACAATTACAGTCTTTACAGTTTTTCAAATTATTTGGTTCTAATTTAGTCGATGACTCGTATTCGTCATAATTTGTTTTAAATACCTCAACAACTGGAAGCTCCGTGGTGTCTTTATCTATATTTTCGATGGTTGAAACCATAGCTGTTGTGGTTTGGAACGCATCTGTTGAAGAAACATCGGTCGTCAGTGGGCTCGTCGAGCCGTTCGTGGACGGTGGCAGACAGATATGTGTCTTCATTTTTCCCATCTGTGGCATATAACCCTCATGACACCTACACTGATCCGGCGCCACGCATTCGGCATTCACACATTCGGGTGAGCACATCGGTTCGCATTCGTTGGTGAAGGCACCATTAAACTTTGGCTTGTACTTGTCATGGCAGATACAGAATTCTGGTGCTGCGCAGTCGGCATTAATGCAACTGTCACTGCAGATGGGCTCACATTTACCCCGGTCGGTTGTGGACAATTGATATCCTTCATTGCAAGCACAAATTTCGGGCTCACTGCAAAAGCCATTTTGACAGCCATTCGAGCAAGTCGGCTCGCAAATGCCACCAGCGCCCATCAAGTAGCCTGGATGACAAACGCACATATTCGGTCCAAGACAATCACCGTGCGGACAACCATTCATGCAGACCGGCTGACAGTAAGCAGGCTCAACGGCTTCATTATCCATACTTGCTTTTGTAATCTTGACAGGCTCAAAGCCAGGAAAGCACTCACAGACGTCGGGCGCCACACACTTGCCATTCACATTACAATTTTGCGAGCATTGCGCTTGACAATAGTCCAAATGTTGTGGTATGCGCATCATTTCGTAGCCGATGGCGCATTCGCAAACGTTCGGTTTCACACAACTGGCGTTTTGAGGGCAGGGTATCTCACAAATAGGCATACATATGCCGTTGCCTTGGACCGGCTCCTCATTGTCGGCATAGTCGACATTTTTCATAGCGTAGCCGCTCAAACAATGACATTCCTCTGGTCCGACACATTCACTGTAAGCGGGACAACCGCCACTGCAAACCGGTGTACACTCATCAATGCTCAGCGCAGTTGTCGAGCTTTTATTTGTCGTCCCCTTAGAGTGCGGCGCATAACCAGTACGACAAGCGCAGTTGTTCGGCGATTGGCAATACATATTAACGGGACAATCATATTTACACTCTGGTACACATTCATCTCTATTGATGGTGAATTTATAACCCTCGAAGCAGCTACACGTATCAGGGGCAATGCAATGTCCACGTGCTGGACAAGATGTGCTACAAATAGGCTCACAACTACCGTCCACTTTTATGCTATAGCCTTCGTTGCAAGCACATTGTGCAGGACTGACACAGTTGCTGTTCTCCGGACAACCGTCGGGGCATTGTGGCTCACAGTATTGACCTTCTTCACCAATCATTTTGTAACCTGTTGCACATTCACATTTATTGGGAGCAACGCAGCTAGCATTTCGGGGACATTGTCTCAAACAAACTGGTGTACAGGTGTTGTAGAACATGGTGTAACCCATCAGGCACATACATATATTTGGAGCAACGCAATTGGCATGCATTGGGCAAGGTGTGTTGCAAACCGGTTCACAGCTGCCATCCGACCGCATTCTATATCCTTCATTGCAGGTACAACTAAAGGGATGTGTGCATTTGCTGTTTGGCGGACATTGCGGATCACAAATGGGTAAACATTCGTTATCCACTTCGGTGAAACCTGTACAGCAGACATATTCCGTGTATGTTTTCGTGAAGTACTGCAAATTTAAAGAAATTCGGTTTTATTAGGGCCGATCATGTGTTCGAATAAAAAATGTATGATTGGAGTTATTAATTGCTTCAGTTTTATTGGCGAATTTCTTGGTTATTGTATCTGAAACTCAGAAGGCTATTTTCGAAAATTTTCCATCTAAAAATAATTAAAAACTCTCCACGACGGTCAAATATTTCTGATCAAATACGTTTAGTGTCAAAAATTTCGAAGTGAAACTACCTAAAAATATTTTTGTATCATGTGTTCACATGCAAAATAATTTTTATTAAAAAATAAAAATAAAGCTTTCATTAATTTCAATGTGTACATATAAATGTTTGTAGATATGCATGTATGTACCGACAATTATCGAAATCGAATGGCTATATCATATAGCCCCCAAGAAATCGATTTGAAATTGAGACCCAAAATAACAGTCAACATTTTCAGAGTGTCTCAAAATAACTGTTAATATGTAGGAGAGAAAATAACTCACTCAATGAGACGCGTGATATATTTTATTTATCTGCGCTCTCGCTCAGTGGGAAACACTTATTTTTAAATTTTTTCCGTCACTGCCTTTCTGGGACACTTATTGCAGAGACGGAAAAAATGAAAGTCTTTCTGTAACACAGAATAATTTTAAAAAATGTTAGTTTGTTATTACTTTGCTCCGGCATGTATGTATGTATATATAGATACGCATACATATTCCTGTATGATTTTACATATGGTTTTGTACAACTATAATTACAAGCTTGTATATGCATACATATAAGCAGAGAGCTTTAGCGTACTTGTTATTATAGTTTCAAAAATTACTGTTACTTTTCCGAAAGCAACACTTTTGTGAATTTAGCGCACTTATATGTCTTTTGTTATCACTTGTGATCGGGTGCACAAATGAATGAGTACTGTTGTGAATTTTTATATATTTTAACAAAGTGGCAAGATGAAGCTACTCTTCTGTTAAGAAAAAAAGCTTTAGATCCCAAATAAGCTACAAACCGAATGGAAGCTCCTCCTCCAATTTGTGGCCTTGAGTCTTAATGTTTTTCCAACAAATGGAAGGACCTACAATTTATACTAAGCCGCCCCCGAACGGCTGTTGTTTTTTTTGTGGAGCTTTATTTCATGTCAGAATTACACTCGTATGGTTTGACATTCCCTGCCGAGCGGCGACTGCAATTAGAAAATTTAACTAAATTTTTTATTTAAATTAATTTTCTATAACTTTTGGATGTTGGTCGCACGGGGACTTGAACCCGAGCCTTCGGAATAGCAGTACGCAATGCTAAGCACCGCGGCCGATGAGATTAATATTAATATCAATGAATTTTACTCCATTCTTTGTAAATATTTATTTTTTCTTTTACATCGATGAAAGTGCCCTAATTGCTTGGGCAAAATAAATTGTGACCAAAGCAGCATTACTGAATCTCACTAAATATTTTACAATAAATGATAAATCCTCTAAATTAAGTTACTTCAGAGTCTAATGAATTAATAAATAAGTTTTGTACTGCATAACGGCTTTACTTTCATCTTATTAAATATATTATTATTGAGCATTCTTACCCACAATGAAGTAGTGCGCTGAATCGTTGTCCATGACTGTATATATATAGTACATTCTTTTGTATTCTTATTTTTATACATATATATCTATCTATTTGTATATATATGAATTGGATTCTTGTATCACTTGTAACGGCATTCACGATCCTTATGAAATTATCAATCAGGAAGGTGGACAAGGGACAAAACCTATTCGAAAAAAAGTAAAATAGGGTTCGATTTATTTAATTTTTACAGATTTTTTTAAATTGTGGATGACTCCAACGCTGCAGAGCGAAGAAAACTCGAGGTTCATAACATAAAAATTATTAGAATGTTGGTACATGTCACTATGTTAGCAGAAGTTTATTTGGATCCCGGTTAAATATATTATTAGCCGAGGAACAAAAGTCTCTAGCAAAAAGGAATTTAAAAGAAGTAACTTACCGGGTTTTCAAATAGAATCAAGTAAGATAAAATAGTATCATGTACTGTAGTAGAAAGGTAGAATAATATTAACATTGATCTTATATTCAACAACTTATATGTTAAAAGTGTCTAGTATTAACACACAATTGTATTAACCTACAAAATTTCCATTAACAGGACCGAGGGATAGGTGCTTATGCACCTGAAAGCAATAATAAGACAATCGGAAAGTTTTTATAAAATATATGCAGATATCGAAAATTTCAGTGCAGTGATTCTTCCAATTAACTCTAACTGTACTTGCTACACGCGCGACACAAGTAACAGTAGAAAGAGCTTTTCCAGCCGCTGTAGCCGAAGGGTTAGCATTGCGTACTGCCATTCGGAAAACCCGGGTTCAAATCATGATACGACCAATAGCCATAAGTTGTTGAAAATAATTTAAATAAAAAATTAAGCTACTGTCAATCCTTCCGAGTTTATTATGGACATGAAAATCAAGAGCTTCTCATAAAAAACCATCAGCCATTCGGAGGCTGCTTACTACAAACTGTAAGTCTCTCCATTTGTTGGGAAAATATAAAGACGCAAAACCAAAAATTGGGAGAGAAGCTCGGCCGAAAATTGCTTCAGCGGTTACAAAGCGCAATAAAAACGAAACTAAAGGCCGAAACAATTAATTCGTTATAAGTTGTTAAACTGAATTCTTAGTATTAAAATTAAATAACTATTCATTGTGACAGGGCCGAGAAAATCGAGGCCCGGGGATAATTCAAATGCGGGCCCCCAACACCTTAATTTCATGATCTAACAAATATGTTTATTTGTACTGCACACTGCAAATCAACGAGTTGGGGATTAATATAGAATAGAACTTGAATAAAAATGAAAATGAATGAGTAATCTGGAACAATTTTTGTTTAAACAATTTTATTACCTTAGTTTACATCACAATTGTATTTTAATAGGTAGCAACCCTCAAAAATATGCCTTCCTTGCTTTATCTGATGCAAACTCCTCAATGATAATACCGAAGTCAAGTTTTCTAGCTAATTGAGATTCCAAACATAACGTTGCCAATCCTGAGACTCGAGATTGGTGTGAACAAGAACGATGATAGTTCTTTATTCTTGAAAGTACGCTAAATGATCGCTCGACGCTAGCAACTGAGACTGGCAACGTGCAAAATATCCGCAGAGCAATGCAGATGTTTGGAAACAGTGTATCTAAATTTTTGGTGGTGATAGCATTCAACAAATCGAATGGAGACAAATGAGTTGTACTACTCTCAGCAAAATTAGCCTGATAAACGTTTTTTAAGTGAATGATTTCGCACGATATTTCGATTGACACATCAGCAGGATATTTTTCAGTAAAACGTAGCGCAGCAGTCTGAACCTCTTCTACTTTCATTTTTGGAAACAACCACAAGAATGAAAACATGTTGTTGATTGCTCTTATTGAGGCAAATCTGCTCCTTATTCCCGCGATGATCGAATCCATGATAACGAAGAAAGTGCTACGTTTGAAATCAATTTCTTTATCAATATAATCTTCATCTGAATTTTCGGGTGCAACTTCCACTCGTTTCTTTTTTCGACTCACTGAGAATGTTGACGTGGCGGTAGTCAAATGTTCGGAAACTGTTCGACATTCTTTTAAGATAGCATTCCACTGGTTGCGTAAGATCTGCAGATTATCTAAGAGACTTTCGAGATTTTTGACTTCAACATATATTGTGGCTTTATTCTTTTGCAGAACCAAACTAACGTCATTGATTGCTGTAAGAATCTTGAACCATATCGATGACATTAGGAAACATTCAAATTTGCTAATATATTTTAATTCCATCAACATCCCGTCTAGTCTCAGCAGTAAGATTCAGTTTTCGTACTGTAGTCTGTAGTCAGTTACGTCATAGATATTCTAGAAGCAAATTATTCTATAAACGACAATGAAAACACCAGGCCCCCTTGCAATCTACGGGCCCGGGGGGAAAAGTCCCCGATGCCCCCCCCTCTCGTTGGGCCCGCATTGTGATAATGAAAAATAAAGTAAGTAACTTTGATTTCAATTAGCGTAGATATTTCATGAATATTCAATATATTAATGTAAAATAATAACAATAAAATGATAAATTAGGCTTCCGTGTTAACATACATTTGCACATAGCATTTGCATACATACGAGGTGTGGCAATTAAGTAGTGAGACTGATTATATTGCCGCGATTGTGGTAACTATGGGATCTTAAAATTCTCTTCTCCCGAAATCCTTCTCCTCTCTATTGATATGTTTGTCATCGCTCTAGCTTGTTTAGTTCGTCTGCTGTGTCGTGCTGAGTAAACGTGTGCGCGGTCTAGTCCGTGAAGATCGACTTTTAACAGTTCGAATGTTGTCGTCGGAACTGGGTATGAACCAAATACTCGAAAGATTGCGAAACCGAGTCAACAGGGTGCGCCCAGGCATCGCTTGTAGCTGGATCGTTAATAACGGCAACGCACCGAGCCGTACCGTCCTTAGCGTGCCCCAGTATTTGACCCCTAAGTTGATCGACTTGTTGCAACAACCGCCTTATTCGCCCCATATGTCACCCTGTGACTTTTTTGTAACCTATAACGAAATCGGTGGTCAAAGGAACCCATTTTGAGTCGATTGAGGACGTCCAGGTGTCTGTGACGACACGGACAACCCAGTCGAAGCGTTCCAGAAATGTGAAAAGCATGGAATCGTTGTATAGCTGCCCAAGGGGACTATTTTGAATGGGATGGCATAGTTGTAGAATAATTTTGAAATTTTCGGTTTTTACGGAATCAGTCTCATTACTTAATTGTCACACCATCATCTTAAGCGAATGATTCTGATATACTAAGTCGACTTAAATGCCACATTACAGCCACAAAAGTGCTGTAGCAGCACCTTAAAACTAATTGAAGAATGGCTTGCGAAATGGCGCATAACACTTAATAAAAACAATTGCAAGCACATAGTCTTTGCATTAAGGCAAAAAATGTTCTGGATCGTCAAGCTCAACAATGTGCCTATCCCACAAGCTAAAGAAATCACATACCTATTGTATTCGTTTGGATAGATGATTAACTTGGATAAGACACATTTCTGCTGAAGCTTAAGTTGTCCAGTTTTTATTGGTTTTTAAGCAAGAAATCGGGACATAGTTTTGAAAACAAAGTTATTCTTTATAATGTGGCTCTGAAATTCAGTATAGGGGAACAGCTTGCGCGACGATCCTAGGTATATTACTAAGATTCCAGTCCAAAAATTGAGAATAATAACGGCCGCACTACGGTACATGAGTAGTGAATACATCCACAGAGATCTAAATATATGTACGTAAAATAAAGGAAAAGATTAAAATCGTTTCACAAAAATACATAGCAATTCAGCACAATCACCCTTTGGCTAAAACCTTGGCCTCCGGAACAAGTCAAACAGGCATGAAAAGAAGGGACTTACGACCCTTGTGAAGAGCGACATTAAGCCAGCAGCCCATTCCTAACTAAAGGGCTATTATATTCTATTTTTGTTTATTATATTTGACAACTGTTGTTTTCATTCTCTGCCCAAAATGGAATACCAAAAATTGGTTATGGTCATGACAGGCTTGGTCGAAAACAGCTCTTCTTTCTTGTTTTCTATTTTAAATACATATGTACATATGTAATAACTTTTACGGAAACTACATTATTTGATATAAATTGTGTGCAATAATATATTATGGACCTTGTTGTTAAATTATTTTCTTAGAACTCTTATATATCTGTACTACAGCACAGTTATTCTTAAAAAACCGCTAAAGTATTTTTAAGTCAAGATGCTGCGTCAATTTACGGATATGCCTCTTGAAGTTTCCAACAAATGGGTGGACCTACATATTTATTTAAATAATTTTTTTTATCAAATTTACACGATTTTTAATTAATCCATACTTCAAAAAATGTATATGTATGTATATATATGCATTAGCCATTGAGTCACAACAATGGAGAAGTATTTTTCTTATCGCAGCATGAATTGCATAATTTGTGCAAAGCAATTTTTAGTTCTAAAGTGCATACTTCGATATGCAGATATTTCGTGATATTCTCAAGTGTATCGAGTACATATTTGCTATTAAAATAATACCTAATAAACACAACGACGTCGCCTCGAGTTCAGCAGGGGCAGTTATTCGCTTTAAGATCCTCAATCTTCTCTTTAAAGTAAGAAACCAGCTTTTCATTAACGTGCCGAGTCTTATCTATTGGTTTTTACAAAATTTCCAATCGTTAACTATTCGAGAATATCTTGTGCATAGTTTCACGAAATAGCTACGCTTACTTTATGTAATTGGAGAGATCTAATTATTAATAAAAAAAAAATATTTCATTCATATTTTTCACCAATAAAGAATGTTTAAAAGTATTAATTACTTTCTTAAATGTGCAAATTAAATTATTTGTATTGAGCTGAAATTCGTTGATCGTGGAATTAACTTTTTAAAGTTAGTCTAGAATCCGAATCAGTATGTTATAGTTATAGAATTGTTAGTAACTCTAAACAAGGGAAGAAACTGATAAATAAACCTATGAATTTTTCTTTTGAATTCTTTCACACTTTTCTTTATCTTGTTTTTTTTCTTTTTTTTCTATTTTAAGGAGTCAAATATTCGGAGCGTAATATTAGTACGTTTTTATTATTTTATTTTTATATTTATTCACTGCTCTGAAAATTAAGGACACTCCTTAGTCAACGAATTCAGCTCTAGTTAAAAAGAAAAAACAAATATTAGATTTTCCTTAACACAATACATACTTTCTTTCGATTTTTCACACTATATCTCGTATATTCGCCCCACATTCCAAGCCAGTTCTGATCCCAATATTTTTCAATAACATTCTCTGGTACCATATAAGTGATCACTTCACTTTTTTCTTTAGTACATCGTTGGCTCAAAACCGAAACGATTGACAATTTACAAAATATTAATGATATTAAACGTGGTTTCAGAATCATTTCAACAAAATAATTTTGTTTACTTAAAAAAAAAACAAATACTGAAGTGTTATAACTTAGAAATTTTCTAGGTTTTAAAATTCTCCGTTTTATTCTACACACAATAATTAAGCTCAAATCACGAAAATGGACTGAATGCTTGTGGGCGATATTTAACAAATCTAAGCAAATAAAATGAAAAGTTGCTCGTGAAATATTAAAATATTTAATCTATTATTAATACTTAAGGAAGGCCAAGTGCGGGTGGGGATCCAATGTGTGCATGAAAAAAATAATAATTAGCAAGTAAATAAAGAATGAGCCGCATTTAATACGACAGTTTCAATGGAAAGACTTATTCTAAGTACAGTTAAAATCTTTTACAGGTATCTATTGTAGAACATCCTATTAGAACATGCTAAATCTCGGTATTGAAGAGATTCAATAGATTTTCGCCTACTAATTTCTTAAGGAAACTCAATTTAAGCATGCAGATCGTTCAAAAAATATTAAAAACATAAAGTTAGTTAGATAAGGGTTTATTGTTATTTAACGATCAATGATCAATGAGCACGTCAATAATATGGGATATAAGGCAATGGATAATGTGAGAGTATCAATCATTAATCGATCGACAAGCTAAGCAGTATCGTCTTGGCGAGTAAAGTCGATTAAATGAATTAACTCAAAATACCTTGGTTATCCAGTATAGACGGGTATAAAAATATGTAATACCGATCATTTATACCGACATACGTACATATATTATGTATATATTCACTATTGAATAACAATAAAAATCATATAATATATAATCATTTAATAATATTTTATCTTAAAATGAAATGTATAATTTCACAAGTGGCGTATATAATCTAAGTAAAACAATTGGATTTTTTTCTTTCCCTCATTTTAGTTCAAAGATTTCATATTTGAAATTTTTTGTGCTTATGTTTGCTAGTAAAGTAATAAAAATTTACAAATTTTCTGATTTTACTTTTGATGTAACAAAATCAAGTTTATTCGGTTCGATTACTTTGGGGCAGGAATCATTAGAAACACTCCTCTGAATACAAACGTATGTCTTTCTTAATAATTTGCCATAATGGGCATTTATGGTTTCACAATTTTTACCAGAAATGAAAATTATGACAATTTCGAAAGTAAATTCTTTTTTTAAATCATTTAAACCGATATAGCTTTTAATCATTTTCGTACTGCTATCATTATTTTCTGCTACTATTATTACGTAACACATAACACGCATTCAACACAATCGCTCTAGAAGGTCTTTATTTTAAAGAATACAAAATGAAATATTTTGTCTAATACATTTCTGAGGTCAGTTTGTTTAAGTTATAATTATAGTTATATAATTTTATTTTACGCCTTTTCAAATGAAAGTATCATGGGAATGTTAATAGAGCAAGATCCGGCGGGATGATGCGTGAGTTTATTTCAGAAACTATTGAAAGAAATATCTTACTTACTTACTTAACTGTTATGATGTACTTTAACAACATTGCGTTATTCGTTTCTTCTTTTTGCGCTTTGGCGCCAACTGGAAATGCCAAGTACAGTCAGGTCCTTCTCTACCTGGTCTTTCCAACGGAGTGAATGTCTTCCTCTTCCTCTGCTTAAGCCGGTGAGTACTGCATCGACTTTCAAAGCTGGACTATTCGTATTCATTCGGACAACATGACCTAGCCAGCGTAGCCGCTGCTTCTTGATTCGCTCAACTATATGTTGCAGAAGCATGGACGATGACAACTGTTTTCTCTCCACTTCGATAAGGCAGTCCTCATCGCACTTGCTGTTGTTGCGGCCTTTAAGAAATCTAATAGTTTCGTTTGCAGCTTTACGTAAAGAGCTTGAAATGTCGTCCCACAGGTTACGTATACCGAGTTGCTGATGAGTGCTCTCAGAGAGTAGGAGTGCAAGTATAAAATCGTTAGACAGTCTGTTGTGATTGAAAAGCTTTTCAACTCTGCTTGTGTTTGTTGATGGCCAATCTTCGATACACAGAGGCGCATGCCTATCTCCGCTGTAACAAGATAATGGTCCGAGCCGATGTTGGGTCCTCGGAGAGTAAGCACGTCAACAACACTATATTTCGGGCCCCGGCGAAGTCGATTAGTCCCGACCCATAAGGGGATGTTTCGTTGTGAAGGGTGAATTATCCAACAGTCGTACCATAGATACCTTCTTTTAGGGCAAAGAAACATTTTGTACTTTTTATAAGATTACTTCTACCTTCCTCGGTGGCTCCATAGACTATACGGATAATTTAAAATATGAACTTTACAACTTTTTGTTCTGCTGCTTGAATTGTTCAAAAGCTCGAATTCTTCAAAAAACCTCGAACTCCTCGATTTTCGGGCATTTAGAGCTCTAATATGTACAACTATATGTGTGCTAGCTTGAGTGAACTGAAAGTTAAACATATAAACACTCATGTATTTGTGAAACAAATTTTTTATATTTATATGTACAAAGGGTTTTCCGATAGGAGGTGTTATATCGAATAGCCTGCTATTCCGGTAGATGTCACCTTTGAAACTATATATTTCTTTTACTTTTAAGGAAACTCAAGTTTGTCCATTCCTCTTGGTTATTTGAAATAGAGCATTCCACCGTATTTTGCATAAATTCTTAAGTCTTACGGCTTGTAAAGTTCAGTTAACACAAGAACTCATGTAGGCTGATCGTCAATAACGTCGAGTTTTTGCTGATTGGGTGCTTGAAATCCATGGAAACGATTCTGAATTTGTTCGGAAAATCAACTAGACTGATGAAGCCCATTTCCACCTCGATGACTATGTCAATAAGCATAACTGTTGCATTGGGGCACGGAAATCCTTCTATTCATTATTGAATCCACTCCATCCTCAACGTGCAACTGTTTGAGACGATTTAGGGTTCGGTAGGAACATTGGACCTTGCTTTTTAGCAAAAAAGGCTGCAGCAACGGTGAGAGATGTTTGATAGTTCTTCATGGCCAGAATTGGATGGCATTGATCTGGACAACAGGTCAACGTCAATTCGAGACCTTAAAGATGGAATTCGTGAAACTATTGGGGGCATGCAGCAGTCATTTTGCGATATGATGATGGAAAACTTATGAAAAGGATACTGTCCTTTAATTGTAGCCTTGGCGACCATTCGGCGGTTTGTTTTCTATTATAAATGGCATAATTTCCTCTTTCAACATTTTATCATTCATCTGAAAAAATTACATCAAAACAACACCTCTTATTGGAAAACCCTATATATAATTATAAATATATATAATTTTTTATATTTATAAATTCCATATATAATTAGCGCTTCTTTTGCCGAACTCTTCCTCCAATTCTTGGTGTGCGTTAATGTTATTTCTAAAAAAATGGACAAGTCTTAAATTTATTGTAAGCCGTCTCCGAACGGCCAATGGATTTTTATGAGGAGAAAGACTCTATAATGCTGAATGTTGGTATTACGAGAACTCAAACTCTGGGCGTCAGAATGGCAATGCGCACCACTAACCACTAGGATTTTTGGGCCGAATTGCGTACAGTCAAAGCGAGCGTAGATTTCGTCCAGTTTATTCTCATAAAAATATTTTAATTGACATGAAATGTTATTCAAATTAATTTCTTGCCTCGTATTTGGAAATTTGCTATAATAAATAGATTTCTATATGTACTTCGAAATCAAGGATAACATTACTCATTCCTTTCAGAGTACTCCTATTTCTTTAGATTTTTTTTTTTTTTTTTTGGTGATGGTAATATTATTAAGCTAAGAAAGAGATTTCTTCTAGCGAATTTCTCTTTTTACACAACAAGAATATATGTTCAGCCAGCGAGTGAAAGGATTAGGAATGGACAAGATATGTTACCATTTAGAACAAAAGCCTTTATTCATATCCGAAATACACTCGGAATTAGACTGAATTAAAACATGCTGTCTTACCGATTTTAATAAATAAAATACTGCGGAATATGAATAATTCTAAAAATAATAATTAATAATAACTAGTGAATTGTTAGGTAATATATGCCAATCCGTCTCTTCATGCAAATAACCACTTTATTTACATCCATACCATATTAAAATATGCTGGTTCTCTACTAGTGTTAATAGCTCTGTTTGGTGCGAAAGGTTAGTGAGAAATATGGTTCTTCTTCTTTATTGGCGTAGGCACCATTTACGGGATCATAGCCGTATTAATATTACTGCGTCATTCCTCTCTTCTTTTCGCTATCTGGCACCAGTTTTAAATACCAAGTGGAGCCGGGTCACTCTCCACCTGATCCTTCCAACGGAGTGGAGGTCTTTCTCTGGTTCTCTGCTTCCAGCATAGAGTCTGCATAAAATACTTCTAAAGCTGATGTACTTTCACGCAGCCGCTGTCCCTTCATTCGCTGAACCATCTATCATCGTATAGCTCGTTCAGCTCTTCGTTCCACCGTCTCCGGCAAAACACCATAAATTGTTCGCAAAATTCTTCCCTCGACGACTTCCAGGGCCGACTCATCAGATGTCAATATCGTCCATGCCTCCGTGTCATATAGTTAAATGGGTATGATGAGCGACTTGTAGAGTTAGGTTTTCGTGCGCCGAAATAGGACTTTACTTTCCTATTGCCTACACAGTTCAGTCCAAAGTAGCGCCTGTTAGCAAGAATGCTTCTGAGTTGGATTTCTATGCAGGCATTATTATTGGTGTTGATGATGGTTCCCAGATAGAAAAAATTATCTACGACCTCGAAGTTATGACTGTCAACAATAACGTGGGAGACGAGTCGCGAATTCGATGACTGTTTTATAACAGGAGATATATCGTCTTGCCAGACCTATTCACTTCTGATTCTTCATCAAGTCTGCAGGAAGCGGAGTTAACGGCGCAAATAATGTCAATATCATGTCTACTTAGCTCTGCGGCTCGTATTATTTCCTCCAGCATGAAATTGAAGAAATCATATAAGCTTTGTGGGTATACCAAATTCAGACATAGCGGCGTAAAGACGGCTCTAATTCGTGCTGTCGAAGGCTGCTTCGAAATCGACGAAAAGGTGGTGTGTCGCCAATTTTGTGTATTGGACAGAGCACACTTAGGTTTCAATCGTCGGGTATGCTTTCAACTTACCATATTTTACAAAGAAGCTGATGCATGCATCTGATCGGTTCTGCTGCTTTGTCTTTTTTATTATTGTTACTAGGACTGCCACATAGCGGAATAACGAAACAACTTTTAAAGAGTAATCAATTGAAGTTTCGGTCTCACCATCCTGGGTGTATCATTTTCGCTGCCTTTTGGCCGGCTGGAAAATTATTCCCTCCATAAATTCAGTATACTCTGAGCATCCGTCACTAACTCACCCCTCTGGGTCCTGCAAGAATTTGTACCGGTATTGAAAGTCTTCGTCAGTCACCGTATTTTTTCGTAGAATTTTCTCTTTATTTTTTTCCCTGCAAATGGGTCATGCTTCCCTCTTCAGATATCGTTATCTATCTTACCCCGCACGTGTTGTGGCCGGTCGCAAGGATGCGAGGTGGGCAGTCTGTTTACTCTCTACCGCGACACGGCAGTCCTCATAGTCAATGAAGAAAAAAAAATGAACCATAGATAAATACTTAAGATCTTCGAACTCTTTCACCAACGAACTACACACCAAATTGTTACTTGTTTTAAGCAAAAGAGAAGAGAAAAATAACATTATGATGTGACACGACAGCCGGTTCTACGCACCGGAGTTGACCCGGATTTTATCCGGCCAAGGGCTGTCACCCTTTCGGAGACCTAACCCCGTTTAGGTCTACAGGTAACCTTAGTCTAAGTACGTCAACGGAGCAACACCTCGCAGCTGGGTTGCTCCAAATCCTTCTGATCAGGGCTGGTGTAGAAACCAACCCTGGACCGACGGATTACTTCTGCTGCGTGTGTCAAAGAAGACTCCACCATTCATCCACCTCGGTTAGATGCACCCAGTGCAATGGCTGGAGTCATCTTAAGACCTGATCAGGCCTTAAGACACACAGGGAATGGACCATAAGTTATGTGGCCCCATGCTGCCAGCGTCCAACCGCCCCCTCAGCCTCCACGGCAGTGCCTTCAGCACCTTTACCCACTCTGGGTAATCAGCAGACCTCCACGGTCTCACGGAGCTCGCCGCAGCATGATTCCCTCCAACCTTCACCCCATCCTTACCCACAACCAGCTCCTCATCCTCCTCCCGCGCGAGGGCTACCCAGCAGCTCCTAGTCCCCCGCAATGTCTGTTCCGTGTGTCAGACCATAGTGCGTCGGAACGTGACCTCAGTCAGATGCAATTTCTGCTCTGGCTGGTGTCACTTTCGGACATGCTCTGGCCTGCGCACCACCCGTGAGTGGAGCGATGCGTACGTTGCCCCATGCTGTAGGAGTCTGCCCCCGCATGTCTCTACAAACCCTCCGCCAATCAACACCAATGTGCGGATCCAACTCTCGCGGGTAGTACAGCAGAAACACACACCATCCACGCATCACTCCCTCACTCCCCGAATCACGAACGTTCCCCCGAGACAGACCCGACTTCTACAATTCAACTGCAACGGACTCCAGGGAAACATCGACGAGATAGTCGACTATATGAGCCGGGAGCACCTGTCAATTGCTGCGATCCAGGAAACCAAGTTGACCGCCCGATCAGATCTTCTGAACAGGGCCGGATACAACATAATCCGCAAGGATCGCGAGCGAGACCATGGCGGGGGCTTAGCGTTCATCCTGCACAACACCGTGCAGTATCGTCTCATCGATGGCGACATCGACCGCAGGGATACTACCCTAGAAAGTCAGGGCATAGCTATCCGGTCAGGCGATGTCGAGCTCGAAATATTTAATATATATATTCCTCCAGTTACAAGTTGCCCAGCTGGATACACCCCTGACATAGGTGCGCTACTCAGGGGCGAAAACCGTTTGGTTTTGGGCGACTTTAACGCGCATCACGATCTTTGGCATTCTAGCCTGTCAAATGACCGTAGAGGAATGGATCTGGCGGAACAGATACACGACTCGACATTCTGCACAGTGAACGATAACACCCCCACCAGAGTTATGGGTAATTGCCAAAGCTCGCCAGACATAACAATTGCGAGTGCTGGTCTGATAAACAGTATAGTCTGGCGACCTATACTGACGTTAGCATCGGACCACTTGCCCATACATATCTCGATTGACAGGCCTCCTGACTTTGTTTCCGCGGACCACCGGACATTCGTTAACTTTAAAAAAGCTAACTGGCCCGGATTCACGGAATTTACCGAGAACGCCTTTAGTGCTCTTCCCACTCCAACTGACGTCACCGCTGGTGAACGCTCATTCCGCAGGGTCGTCATGACCGCTGCCGCCCGCTTCACCCCGGCAGGCCTAATTGCGGAAATCCGCCCTAATTTTCCGACAGAAGCGGCGGTACTAGCAACCAGGCGCGACACCCTTCGAAGCTCCGATTCCAGGAATCCCCTAATCAGGGATTTAAACGCGGAGATTCGATTAGTCGTAAACAGTCATAAGCGGAAAAAGTGGGAGGAGCACCTAAGGACCTGCAACCTCTCCTCTGGGGCAACCAAGCTCTGGGCCACAGTCAAGTCGCTGTCTAACCCGACGAGACGCGATGACCGGGTGGAAATTTCATTCGGTGATCGCGCCTCGTCGGACCCGAAGAGATGCGCGAGCTATTTTAGCCGTCTTTT